AGTCAAAGAAATTACAAAATTTTTCGTTTAACATTTCAATTCTTCAATTTATGTACATTGTGTATTACGATTATTGTTTGAAATTGAAGGAAGAATTGAAATATGCAATTATATAATGGTTTTATTTAAAAAAAAAAAGTTTGATGTGACACAACTTTATGACCGACCCTGTATACTTAAATTTACTAGTAGCTAATAGTAATTTAAAACAAATTACAACTGTATCATAGTTTCGGCAGAATGGCATCATCAGATCAAACCAAACACATCGAAAGTAATTAAATCGAATTGTTTAAATGATATTTTCAAAAGTCGATAACTCGGAAACAGTTGCTTTGAGGTAAATTGTGTATTTCGTTTCTTGCTTAGAAATGAAGGAAGAATTGAAATATGTAAATATAAACAGGGGTTCTAATTAAAAAATAAAAAAAACTTTGATGTGCCACGACTTTATGAATGACCCTGTATACTTAAATTTGTGCTCGCTAATAGATATTTAAAATCCTATAACTTTGTATTTAACTTTTGCGGTACCTCTATATTTTACCTAATAATCGACCGTTTCCATATCATAAAAGCGACCCTGTATGTATATCCTCAGAAGAACTTTTGGCATACCATCGCTTGATTTATCTGAAAATAATTTTAAAATCTTGCGCTAACTTTGCTATCAATTGTATATATTTCTTCCTCCATTACATTGCGTACTTAAAATGATTACCTATAAAATACAGAATGACAAATTATTGTTTTTCTTTTTTTTAAATGCTGTATGTGAAAAAATGTAGAGAGAAATTAAAATAAATTAACTTATAGGCGAGATTTTTGCTATTTTAAAGATTAGTGTGGGAATAAAAAATATTAGTATAATAGTGTACTGCTTAAATACTCTGTATACACCAATGACATCTAAATAAATTTTATTTAAATGACATCTTTGAATAAAGAAGACTAAAGGAAGGAGCATAATGCTATCCAGGTATTCATGCATGGTGGGCGGAAAAAGCCACCATAAAAGCTCTCTGGGGTGGGGATCCTTGACAGTTCTGTTTGACGATTTTGACACATTTGAATTTGATTTGAAATTTTGTGGATTTGTCAGTCTTTACAGAACTTATTTTATGTTATTTATTATTTATTCTACTACTGATGGTTGTATAAAGTGAAGTAAATCTAGGTGGAAATTGTGGCAGAACTTAAATTAACAGTGACACTATCATGATTTATCAAAGACTCTAAAATAGTTGGTTGTGTAGCGTCTCGGTAGATCTCGGCAAAAATTGAGTGAAATAATGGAACATTTTTTCGCTAGTAAGTGACATATAATATACATACGTGTAGTAAACCGATCATTTATGAAATTCACTTAAATTAACTAAATTATATATTTTTCTTGCATTTTAGCTTTTATTTATTACTTGTTAAAGATTAGATGTCAAAAGAATTTAGATACGTTAATTTGACTTACCTGCTTCAATATCGGATGTTGTGTTAATAAATACTTAATATAACTTATCTATTTTTATTAAATTATATATTTTTATAACAATTTTAATAACTACCAACATTTATTCACGACGTAAAATAAAACAACAAATTATTGAGTCTACCCCACGTCTACTCTACCTCATGGTTTTATTTTTAAAATAAAATTAAGAACGTACTGACAAACCGGAATTTAAGTCGGCCATATTTGAAGCCCATCGCGGTACCTAAGATTTTTGATATGCTCCTTCCTTAGTCTTCTTATTCATAGAATGACATTGATATATACCCTAAAATTAGTAGTTAAGTCCACTTAATAAATCTTTTTGACTCCACGGTATTTCCTCACACAAGTTTAAATATGATTTAAATATAATTTTGTAACACAGTACTTTTATACAGGGGTGTTTCAAAACAATGCAACTTCAGGGGGTGATTCCTTGTTCAAAATAAAAAGGGTAGTTGCTTCATAAACGTTGGGTCAAAAGTCAACCATTAAGGAGATATTGCGGTACAAGATGGCGGAAAAATAATGTTTATTTTTATCTTGAAAACAAAAAGAGATAGACTAATAAAATTTTATGGAAGCATTTTGTTATGAAAACACACTTTCTGGTAATTTTTCACTTTTTTAAAACGAGTAGAAGGGGTTGAAATAAACTACCCCTATCATTCTTGTTAACGAAATTTAAAGAAAAATCTTATCAAATACATGCAAAAAAATTAATTTGGATAGTTTAGTTTGTTTAGAAACTTTTTTATCTCTTGTATTTTTTTGATATTTCACCGATTTGAAATTAAAATCAAATGTAAAGCATTACATGTCAGGACAAAAACATTTTCTGATAAAAGAATCTAGTGGGCTGCTGTAATTTTTTTTAGGAAAAAATCTGGTCGGCCGCTGTTACTTTCTAGGTTGTTCCCTAGTATTATTTATTTGACATTACTCTACTGCAATTCGTTATTATCCTAGATGATTATTATTATCGTTATTATCACTAGATTCTTAATCTAAAATATTTTTGTCCTGACATGTAATGCTTTACATTTTATATTTTAATTTCCAATCGGTGAGTTTTATCAAAAAACACAAGAGGTAAAAAAGTTTCTAATCAAATTAAACTATCCAAATTAAAGCATTTGCATGTGTTTGATAAGATTTTCTTTAAATTTCGTTAACAAGAATGATAGTTGTAGTTTATTTCAACCCGTCCCACTCATTTTAAAAAAAGTAAAAAATTACCTGGTGTGTTTTTCATAACAGTAATGCTTCCATAAAATTTCATTAGTCTATCTCTTTTCGTTTTCAAGGTAAAAATAAAAACATTATTTTTCCGCCATCTTTGTACCGCGATATCTCCTAATGGTTGACTTTTTTTGACCCAACGTTTATAAAGCAAACTACCCTTTATTTTGAACAGGAATCACCCCCTAAGTTTTTCGCATTTGTTTTGAAACACCCTGTATATGTCAATTTCAGGTATTAAGTATTTCAGTTGGTCCTTTCGTTTCTAGATTGCCCATTGTTTTATTCCGCATGCAACCTTGAGTATTGATAAAGATAAGCAGGCCTTTAGGGATATTCTGTATTTTGATATGCATGTTACTAGTAGTATACCTCTAATTAATGGCATGAATATAAGCACGTAATAATTGAAGAAATAATAGTAAGTAATTGAATTATTAGTAAAAAATAATGTAAAAAGCTATTTTGCATTTGTTTGGTAAAACCTGTGTGTTAATTATATTATCTGTGAAGTTTTTTAAGCAATATAGATCAAATGAGCTTGCCAATGTAATATTTGATTCTTAATTATATTTGATATCAATTAAACTTTTTAGTTACGTAATCGAGGGCGCGATTTTAAATTCATTCTTGCCAATCACGGACATATTCGGCGCCGCGCTGACCAACTGGAATATAAATTTCCCGCTGGGGATTCAGGTGGCAGCTCTGCTTGTAAAAAATGTCAAGTTGTCACATTTATTTATTTCCTGATATTGTCATTCGTTTTGACACTTTAATTTTATATTAAAGTTTTGGTTTAAATAAATTGTGTTGCGATATTTTAAACTTAAAGATTTTTACTAGCAGACCTTGCATTTTTTAGAACCTCTTTTGATTGAAGTGTACAAGAGCAGCAATAGCCCAAAACTCATCGCGACTTTATTAGAATAATTTTTTGAACGGGAAAGCGGTAGTAATAACCCTTCATGTCCTTTAAAGTGCTGTTAAGGAGGGTGAGTTTGATTGATGTAAATAATAATTGTTTATATATTATAAACAATATATATTATAGTCGTGACTGACTAGAAAAAACTCAAGAATTTAAGTGAGGATGCAGTCAATAAAAATCACCACATGGGCTAATAAAACTACTTTTCAAATTTGTCAAGCTTTCGAGAATTTTATTCCCATCAACAGGACAGTTTCTAAAATGTATAAATAAAAGGCATTCCTTGATTTTTTCAGAGAAACAAACACACCTAATAATAGTAGGTATCTGGTATGTTTTGACTCTGACTTTATAAACTACACCCTGTATATTTAGTATAGGTATACTTGAAATGACTTCCCAATTCTCATTCAAATTTGTCCAACAAGAGGAGATAAATGACACTAATGACAGTGATAGTTGTTTTCTGTCATATTAAACCACAGATAAATTGAATATTCTGCAACATAAAAAAATATACAGAGCGTCAGTTAAAAGAAATAAGAGAAAACGTTTTCATTAAACCGAAAGTTGTACCCGCTTTATAAGAATTTAAAGTGTGTTTACTACCCTGAAACATCTAAAACTTTGTACACCAATTGCTGTCCTCCTTTCACGCAGTTGAGCAGCTCTGAACTGTTCAAGAACGCGATACTCGCTCCATTCAATTGAGGCATAAAGTTCCAGAACTGTTCCGCGCCATATGGAGGCACGAGGCAATCGTGCAGAGCTCCTTTCAGAACCGTTCTCGAGTAGCCCCAGGGCGTAAAGCCCGGAACTCGAAGTTCGCGAATGGAGGACAGCAAATGATGTATCCCTTCGTAAAAGACACTTGGATGTAACAAATTAATAATGCAACCGTATAAAAGGTTGGTCCACCTATACCTTCCATTTCCAGTCCATATCTGTTCCGTATTTTTGGTTGTATTATACGTAAGCTTCCGTTCCATATCAGTTCCATGCATACTTTTGGCTTTGATATAAAAATTTATATCATTACGAAAGCTCTATTTTAAGGTATCTTTTGAAAAGGTAATAGATTTAATTAAGAGTTGAAAGAATAAATAAATATCAACCAAAATGTTTACCAGAGCTGGTACAAATGTAAAAGAACTTGACAACGCTGTTTTCGATACGCTTCAGTCAGTCCGCCAAAAAAAATGTATGGAAGGGAAAGATATGGAACGGAAGTGAAACGGAACGGATAGTGTAACATGATATAATATTTTTATGTAAGCGGAAGGTAGCTGATACGGAAGGTAGTGAGAATCCAAGCAATAATGCTTCAATTTTCGCTCCAAACCAAACGAAAATGCATTTTATTCAAAAACTAAAGATACCAGCAACAAAACGATTATTCCGTAACTCTCTACCGAAATAATAATAAAATAAAACATAAAACAACATCTAAACAAATGAAAATGAACAGTGAAATGATAGGCTGGGTTAGGTGACGCAATCGTGTCTCAGCGCGTGACGGACTCCCCCCTGTCGTCCCTAGGCGGTGGACTGCGGTACTTAGCCCTAATGTGCAGGTACTTTGAGGCGTCCTTGACCGTCCTGTCCGGACTGTCCCTGGACACGACCTTCACCTGGCAGGGGTCGTGACGTAGCAGAAAGTGATCGAGGGTGTCCCAGCCGCCTCCCACTCTGACCATCATGTGCCTGCCTTTCAGAAGCTGCAAGGAAAAGGGTATCATTCGAAGAAAAAAAAATATTGTCAGGACTAAGATTTAGGCCGACTTGGGTTTATAACAATTTCGGAAAAAAATCATATAAAATCAAAAACATCTAAATAAAGGGGAGACAAATCTCTCCATTAATAAAGCTATTTGTTTACATCATACATACTGTAACACTTTTATGTGAATTAAAAAGAGATGGTACGTAAAAGTAATGAATGTTGATGTGAAGTCCTTGTCTTGTAACCAGAGATGTATTTACGCATGGGCGACAAGCATGCATCTTGCAATTAGTATTACAGTTCGTCTGCTGGACCTTATTATCTCACAGAAAGGAATGCGGGCCAAAACATTTAAATAAACGTCGTATTTTATACGACGACTTAACGAGCACGTCACCGCAAATCGCTCCTCCCGCTCATTTTATTGGCTACTTGCAAATTTGTCGAATTTTTAGTGATGGGACGCGTCGTCTAATTTTTTACGGAAAAGATCGAGAGAATATCGTTTCCCTCTCACGGATGCCCCGTAGCTAAAGAACGGACAGACGTACAGTATATGTTATAAATTCGTAGCCATTGTAATAAAGCCTACTTAATTATTAATTTTCTTCCTACAACAAAAAAATAATAGTTTAGATTTAGGTTTTATACAACCTTAATTGGACATCCCTGGTTTTTCCTTGTTTTGTTTTGCATTTTGACATTTTTATTTCGGTATTTCAGAATATAGCGATAATTCACAATATTAATAATTCAGAATTGATAGTAATATATATTTTTCTAATTATTCAATCGAAAATAACATATTTCTTTAAAAACACTAAATTGATGCATTTTTCTCGGCTCCAATTAAAATGGACAAAACTGGGTTTTCCCGTGTAGTCTTCAAATGATGTTGTTTTGGAATTTATGCATTTATACGAAAATGAGCCCTTCATATGGATGGCCAAACATAAAGAACATAGAAATCGTATTGCAGTGTCCAGGGTGGACCATTTTGATTGTTTCTATAGGGTATCTAGGAAACCGTGAGAAATATTCAAATTTTGATACTGCAGTCTCGGGTTCTTTTTTTTGAAAAAAATACAATGGCGCAAACGGATCGTGGCTATCTTGATCGGTTTCAAAGCTACAGGGGGATTCTCAGATTTTTTACTTTTTGAAGATGTTCGATAGTTTGTTTATTTCAGCCAATCACGGAAAAATGAATTATACATTCTAAAGGCATTTTCTGTGTAGAATGCAGTGGCGTAGTCAGACTTTTTTCGAAAAAAATATTTTTTGAGATATTATAATTATACTTATGTTTTTTTTTAAATAGAACCCCCTCTATATTTTTAAATTTTCTTATTCAGCTTGGTACGGGCTTCTCGAAAATATATATCACTCTATATTTATTTTCACTATTAACCTCAGCATTTCAAATTATTCTTAAAATATCCACTGAGTAGATAGTACATGATAATGTTTCGGACACGCTGTTTTTGAAAAGATCCAAAATTGATTAAACTATCTTCTAACCTTTTAAAAATGGCTGGGTTTGGTTTCTAGCGCTCTGGATACCGCTCAAAATATAAATCAGCTGCCATTTGCTGATGTTTGTTAGACTCAATATAACATTCTAACATATTATATTTCTCAAAATTTTTAAATTTACTCATTTTTTTATTATTTAAAATACACACACTTCAATCTGTTGAAATGAAATGTCCCGCATCCATCAAAGGTATGTTCCGATCACAATGACAACCCTTTACTTTGTTACTCGGCGCGGCCTACTATCTACTAAGTGGATATTTTAAGAAAAATTTGAAATGTTGAGGTTAATAGTGTAAATAAATATAGAGTGTTATATATTTTCGGGAAGCCCATGCTAAGCTAAATACGAAAATTTAAAAAAATATACAGGGATTCTATTTAAAAAAAACATAAATATAGTTAATATCTCAAAAATATTTTTTCGAAAAAAAGTCTTTTACGCCACTGCATTCTACAAAGAAAAGATGCCTTTAGAATGTATAATGAATATTTTCCGTGGTTGCTGAAATAAACAAACTATCGAACATCTTAAAAAGTACAAAATTGAGAATCCCCTATAGCGAAACTTAATCAAGATAGCCACGATCCGTTTGCGCCATTGTATTTTTTCAAAAAAGAACCCGAGACTGCAGTATCAAAAAGTCGAATATTTCTCACGGTTTCTTAAATACTATAGAAACAACCAAAATGGTCCACCCTATACAGTAAAGAACTTAAAAGAATCACTAGCAACGACAATTTCGGGACGACTGGTGTCCATAGATCCGACTATACTGTTTACTTGCCAAGGATTTAAACAATGTTTGTGCTGGCGTACTTGTTAAAATGGATACATCGTGTGAGCGCCACACTTGCCGAAGTTGTTTACAAAGTGGGGAGTGTGGGAATACTTGCCAAGTACGCAAATACTGGCGTACTTGCCAAGTAGACGCAGAGTCGTGAGTGCGCCTTTAGACATTTAAAAATACTTTAAACAGTTCTTTTGCAAAAAAAAACAATAAACAATAAAAATTACTTGACAACACTGCAACGCAATCCGCAGAAATTTGGCATCACTTATTTTTATTGAAAACGATGTTTGATCGCTAACACGCTATAAAATGTCGATAGTTTTGTCTCTATTTAGATGTTTTTGTGTAAAATTTAACTTCACTCAGCCAATTTGATGTAAACCCAATGGATAACAATTGCACTGACCATCGTTTTTGGTCATACCTACAGTATAAAACATGAAATAAATATTCGGTAAGTAGTACTTCAACTTACACGGATGAAAACATTCTTCCCTGCGATGTTGTACTTTCCTTCGCCAACTTTCCTCACTTTTAGTTTGTCGCATTTGCCGCTAGCACAGTTGCAATTCCGTTGCATCAGCCTAGCTGCCAGCTGCACCTTCCTGTCCAGTTCTGTGGTCAAGTTTTGGGTCGGTGTGTCTCCTCCACCTAGAAGAATGAAGAAATAAGATAAAAAAAAAAGATAAATTCGCATGTATATGCAAGCGTGAGCTTGGTTTTCGTTGAATACAGCTGGCGGAGTTAGTTTATTGTCTTTTAGAGCAAAAATAATCATAATGTTGGTGTAATATTAGTTACCTATATACACCAACTCCAAAGTTCCTTGTCTAAACTCTTGTATAAATATTTTTAAGGTCTAAACATTTGGAAGAAAATGACTTAATGTGATACAAATTAGTAAACAAATTATAATACTAAGGGCTGGCAAAGGTTAGTCTTGGGTCGAGATTTCCGTATGTAAGAAGAGTACAATGCGTTTATAATGTACTGAACAAAGAGAGGACAGTAAACACGTTGCCAAACGTATGAAATAAACCGAGAAATTGTGCACATCGCTAAGAAACGTGGAAGGGGATATAGCAGATTTGTCGCAGTTGACCGGTCGACCCAATCGATACCCCTGTCAGTACTTAAAGTTCTAGGGAAAGATGTACGTCATGCGTTCAGCTTCACGATTTAATTACGTCTCGTGATACTTAATTTGTTTATTTATTAACGAGTCGTTGTAATTTTCCCTATAGCTTTTTTTTTAAGTGCAAGCTAGAAACACTTGCATTTTTGGTAAAAATAAAAGGAATTGAGTGGGTATTCGATAGTGGTTGCGCTATTAGAACTCTGAATTCAAAAATCGATATCCCGAAATCTATTAGAAATAATAGATTGTAGTTTTTTCAACAACTTTTAAAAATAACCGGTTTGCGATCGGATTTTACTTTACTTGATAGGGAAAGGCGTATCGGCAACGCCGCAACAACAAACCGTCGCGTCGTCGCGTCTGTCGGTCACATATCTCTCACTCCGACTTAATAAGATCCTATGCGATTTACTTCCACACATGTAAATGCCGACCCAAAAGTAATAGTTGCCAGCACGGTATACAATATACAACACCATACCAAAACATCCTTGCACGTAAATATTTTACCTTTACTATCCACGCTTCTTCTTCCGTTATCCACCACGTCCAGATCTGGATCCTCCGGACTGCCACCCGACCATTCCTCGTCCTCTGTGTGATCGCTGGGCACTCCATCACTGGCTCCCCCTGTGTTTTTGATCGCCGGAAGTGAACTGAGCGCTCCGGAATCGCCGGCTCCTCTACTATCTCTCGGATCCTGGATCAAGATCACTCTGGGTCCGGTGTTCCAGCGTTCAGCGTAGTGGGATATGGCAGAAGTGGATCTAAATAAGAAATATTATTATTGATTCCGTGCAAAACGAGCGTTCGGCATTTAACGTTTTATGTAAAACTGGCTCGGTAGTTTTACGCAAATGAAGAAGGAAATTAAAGATAAAGGATAATACCATATCCGTATTGTAGTACATTTTTAGACAACTTCTTTATTTTTAAGATTTTGTTGGTCAAACATCAACAAAATATTACTTATTTTTGGACTAAATTTTCTCGAAAATAAAGACATAATTTAAAATTCCGTTACAATACGGAAATAGATTGAAGTTTTGTGATTACAGTGATATATAATTTATATGGTTTTGTAACAAATTGATCGCTATTTTATGGCAAATGCTGAAGCTCTACAATTAATTCTTAATCAAGCCTTAATCAAAGCACGTGTGTGGGATTAATGGGAATTCATGGGAATTTTGGGTGTGGCTTAACACGACAGGATCGGGCTAAGCCTTAGGCAGATTTCTGAAATATAATATATATTTCCTTCGGCCACACACCCGCTTTACCCGACCCCTGGGAGTGACCCGAAAGTACAGCGTAATAGACTCTTAAGAAACACCCTGTATACCTGCTGTGGCTCATTTTCATCTCCCCATCCATGCGGGGCGGACTGGCCTGGAATTGCCAGGATAAAAGCGAACTAAGTCCGGAGTCCCCGGAGTTGTTCCTTTCCTCCTCTGCAATCTCTTTTTCCAGCTGGACCAATCCGGGTGGTTCCACGCCGAATTTCGTGGCTATCCTGGCTACTTCCAGGAGGCATAGGATAACGCTACGTGGATGGTTATGTAGAACTGGAAATCAACAGAAACTCGAAATCAAGATTACGTTCAAAAAACTACAAAAAAAACAATCTACTTTTAAATACATAGGACAGACAATAATTATTACTGTACCACTAAAAAACTTTTCTCCATGGATAGACTATGGAATACTTTTGCCTTTGTTGTTAATTGCCATTGCCTTGTCCATTAATTACGTGAGAAACTCAAGGGGGTGAGAACAAATATCACATCTCACCACTGGTGGAGGGGAGTAAAAAAATTATCAAAATCTCCTCACGTAATTTATGGATGCATTACGGATGCTCCCGTATATACTTTTTTATAACTTTTTTATTTCTATAGCAAAATAAACTATGTTTCTGTAAAAAAATAATTCTTAATTTATTTACCTAAATCGTCGCTTTCAAACAGAAGATTTTCATGAACTCCTATTGATTTGCAAAACTTGAGAAAGTTTGCCACATTGTCTCTGGAGAAAAAGCTTCTTCTCATGGCTTTTTCGAAACATTTACCTCTGACGCTTGGTATATTCTGAAACCAGGATAGGAGAATAATAAATATCTCTATATCATACATAAGATATTAATATAGCAATTCATTCAAAATAACATACAAGATTTTGCAGATTATTTTTTATTCTTCATACTGTATGATCGAAAAAAAAACGGCGTCGAAGACGGTTGGGAAATAAGAATCGATGATAATTTTGGCGATGTCAATCTCTAGATTTTCTAAAAATTGACGTAAAACTTGTCAAAACCGGGCACCATTTAAAAAAATCTGCACTATTAAAAAATAGTAGGCCTTAGTATCACCTCGTCAAAATTATCATCGATTGTCATTGCCAAGCCGTCATGGACGCCGTTTTTTTTCGATAGTATTGCAGATATAATGTATTGTATGTTTGATGATTAAATTTAAAATTTTAAAATGTATGAATAAATCTACGGGAAAAATAATATATTGGGCCATCCATGATTGATCTGTTGGCTCTGCCATATACGTTGATTAAGCAATATGCCCAACATATTTCTGGTCAACACAATAATTCTTAAATTCAAGGGGTGGCTGCAATAATCAGGCAGCTCCATTTTAATAAATTTGTGGGAAATCGAAAAAGAGCTGCTGCAAACCCACAGCAAGGCAGCTCCAACTAACGTCGCCATTTATGTACAGGGACATCATTTTAAGTGTCTCACTCGGTTTATAATTTTCCTGTTTTCTATTTTAAGATAGTAAAAAGATATTTTAATGTAATTTTTCGCGAGGATGACAATTTTCTACATTAAAATTTTTTACAACGTCAATTTTGACATATACGACGCCATCTTGATTTTTTTTAAATGGAAACCCCCACATATTTTAGCATGGTCCGGTAGACGTCAATTTTGACATATACGACGCCATTTTGATTTTTTTTAAAGGGAAACCCCCACATATTTTAGCATGGTCCGGTAGACATATTCTAGCTAATTTCAAAAATATATAGTTTAGTATACTTTGCACTTACCGTTTTCGATATACAGTGGATTTAAAAATGAATTGTTCCAGAATCATTTTAAGTGTCTCACCCAATTTAAAATTTTCCTCTTTCCTATTTTAAGATAGTAAAAAGATATTTTAATGTAATTTTTCGCGAGGATGCTGATTTTCTACACCAAAATTTTTTAAATCGTCAATTTTGACAGATACGGCGCCATCTTGATTTTTTTAAATAGAAACCACATCAAATTTTAACAGTGCCCGGTAGACAAATTTTAGCTAATTTCAAAAATATATAGTTTAGTATACTTTGCATTTACCGTTCTTTATATACAGGGGGTTGAAATCAAGAATTCCTCTAATTTTTATGTATTTGAATATGAATGCCATTCACTTACAACTGAGTGGTATTTGTATCCAAATGCATGAAATTTACGTAAATTATCTATTATATCTATATATAACTATCTTATGATAAATGACTAGCAGTTTAAAACTAAATTTTCATTTTTTTTATATACAGGGTGGTCCGAACTGTATTCCGGAAACTTCGGCAGCATACTCTGCAGATAAAAATAAGTAAAAAGTTCGTATAAATATATGTCCTACAGTACTTAGTTTCGGAGATACAGGGTGTAGAAGTTTCATTTTTATTTCGATTTTTTCGAATTCATTTCTGAAGTAACGTCAATATTTGGCTGAAAATTCGTGTCTGGGAGTTTTTTGACATGAGAAACTTGATTCTGATGTCAATATGACCCTTATTTGTAGGGGGCGCCACCTACATGTGTTTTAACTGTTTTGAAAAGTAATAACTTTTCGCCCATATCTGTATAAAACTACTGAGTAAAAAAATATACATTTTCTTGACTTTTTACGTGAAAAATGTCTCTTGGTAAAAATCACTACGAGCAACCTTTCTCAAGATATTTCGAATGGAAATAGTCAATACATGTCATTATTGACAAAAAAATAAACACGTTGAGTAGATAGATATTTGGCTGAAATAATAAATGTGGGAAATTTTAATTTTTTTAAATTAATTATAATTTTTTCTGCGGAAAAATGATGATAAAACAGTTTCTGTTGAACTTTTGGGAAAAAAACATTTCAAATTTATGATTTCAGTCTAGTAACTCCACATGTTTAATATATGTCAATGATGACAGGTATTGATAATTTCGTTTCCCAATATCTCGAGAACCATTTCTCGTAACAATTTTTACCAACAGACCTTTTTTACGTAAAAATCGTTATAAATGAATATTTTTTCACTCATTAGTTTTATAGTACGTATACTCAGTAGTACGGACGAAAAGTTATTACTCTTCAAAACAGTTAAAACACGTGTATGTGGCGCCCCCTAGAAATTGGATTTATATTGACATCAAAATCAAATTTCTCATATCAAAAATCTCCCAGACACCAATTTTCATCAAAGTATTAACGTTACTTCATAAATTATTTGGAAAATATCGAAATAAAAATGATACTTCTCTACTCCCTGTGTCTCCGAAACTAAGCATGTTAGGACATTTATACGAACTTTTTACTTATTTTTATCTGCAAAATATGCTACCAAAGTTTCGGAATCACCCTGTATGTAAAGGTCATATGAAGAAGAATCAAAGTATAAATAAATAAAAAAAATTAAGCCTCGTAATTGTCAAATTTGACATTTTCAAGAATTTTAAAATTCGAAAATTGTAAACTGGATGAGTCACTTAAAATAATTCTAAAGATTTCATTTTTAAATGCACTGTATATCGAAAACGGTAAGTGGAAAGTATACTAAACTATATATTTTTGAAATTAGTTAAAATATGTCTACCTGACCAAGTTAAAATATGATGGGGTTTCCATTTAACAAAAATCAAGATGGCGTCGTATCTGTCAAAATTGACGTTGTAAAAAATTTTAATGTAGAAAATCGGCATCCTCGCGAAAAATTACATTGAAATATCTTTTTACTATCTTAAAATAGAGAAGAGGAAAAGTTTAAATTGGGTGAGACACTTAAAATGATTCTGGAACAATTCATTTTTAAATACACTGTATATCGAAAACGGTAAGTGCAAAGTATACTAAACTATATATTTTTGAAATTAGCTAAAATATGTCTACCGGACCATGCTAAAATATGATAGGGTTTCTATTTAAAAAAAATCAAGATGGCGTCGTATCTGTCAAAATTGACGTTGTAAAAAATTTTAATGTAGAAATTCGGCATCCTCGCGAAAATTTACATTGAAATATCTTTCTATTATCTTAAAATAGAGAAGAGGAAAAGTTTAAATTGGGTGAGACACTTAAAATGATTCTGGAACAATTCATTTTTAAATGCACTGTATATCGAAAACGGTAAGTGCAAAATATACTAAACTGTATATTTTCGAAATTAGCTAAAATATGTCTGCCGGACCATGCTAAAATATGTGGGGGCTTCCATTTAAAAAAAATCAAGATGGCGTCGTATCTGTCAAAATTGACGTTGTAAAAAATTTTAATGTAGAAATTCGGCATCCTCGCGGAAATTTACATTGAAATATCTTTTTACTATCTTAAAATAGAGAAGAGGAAAAGTTTAAATTGGGTGAGACACTTAAAATGATGTCCCTGTACAGTTATATTGAGAGATTGTTGCAGGAAACGATCGGCCAATTTCTTTAAAGGGTAATTCATTAAATATCTCATTTTCGAAAAAAATTGGAGTTGCCTGGTTATTCCAGCCACCCCTTCAATCCTATTTTATAAAAGTTCGACACTTTTTATGAAATAAATGTTTAGAAAGAAAAGTTTGTAAAAATGTGCATTTAAAGTGTTTTTTTTTTACCTACCCCTTTGACTAAACCAGCTTTTGAAGCCCTCTTGGCAGCTTCGCAGATTATTTGGGCTAAGTGGCATATAACGACGCCATTATCCAATTCAGATAGGAAGTTATCTCTGTTTATGTAATCGATTCCTGAAACAAATAAAAAATAATCAGCTTTCACACGTTGATAGCTAAAATAATATATAATTTTTCGTCCGTACCTGTATAAAGCTACTGAGTAAAAAAATATACGAGCCCTAACAACTAAATGTTCGGAAAAACAAAAATTTATTAAAAACCTTTATTTTCATTAACTGAATTATTTACATTTAAGAAATACATTAAAAATATATTAAAATCTAACATTTCTAATGAGTATTTAAATAGTTTAGTTTCTATAAACATTAAAATAAACTGTAGACCAATAAATAAACAAAAATATTGCACAATATCGTGACAACTAAATGTTCGCGCGGACACTTTAAAAAATAACTGTTCTAATATGGCGTTACATCGGCATGAACTTTTGCAACCACTGCATGTCTGTTTGGCATTGTTCTTATTAATGATTGACATACGCCAGAGTAAAAATTTTGCCATAATTCACTTAATATCATCGTCAAATGGGCAACGGTTTCTTGAGGATCGTGGCACAATTTTTGTTATGTTCTATGCCACATGTCTCGATAACATTAAGGTCCGGACTGTGCGAAGGCCATGAGGGGACCATGATGTTTATGTCCCTAAACCATTTTTTAGTAGTTTTAGCCATATATGGAATGCCCCGCCATCCTGTTGAAATATAAAATTCATATCCTGATAAAGGTCTCTCGCACTTGGCACAAAACTGTTTTTCAAAATTTCTTGATATTTTGACACATTAGTTGTGCCTTTCTACCACCTTCCTAGACCCATTGCGGACATAATAGCATATAATGTCTTTAGGAAATTCCACTGTCCGTCTTTCATAAAGATCATGCATGCGTGCAGATAGTGCAGATGTAATCCTTGAACTTGCGATTTGCGATTAGAATTATCAGCGTCGGATTGGAACTTCTGATGTCACAAACTACAAAAATGACATTAAGGTAAAATATTTAATTATTTCCCAATCCGACGCCGACGCTAATAATTCCAATCACAAATGGCAAGTGCACGGATTACATGTGCACATGAGCCACTTTAATATCGATATAATTAACACCGCTAGGGTGTCTATTTGATAAAGATTGCCTCAATAGGACAGTGAAATTTTCTAAAGGCATTATGATTTGAAGGAGTACGTCCAAAATAGGCCCAGAAAAGTATGAGGTGGTAGAAGGCATAATTGATGCGTCAAAAAATCAAAAAAATTTGAAAAATATTCTTGTATGAAGTGGGAAGGACAAAGATCCTTGTAACGAATTGTTCTGGTAAAGAGCAGGACAATAATTTTATATTTCAGCAGGATGGCGGGGCATTCCATATATGGCTAAAACTACTAAAAAATGGTTTAGAGACATGAACATTAAGGTCCCCTCATGGCCTTCGCACAGTCCGGACCTTAATATTATCGGGACATGTGGCATAAATAAAAACAAAAATTGTGCCACGATCCTCAAGAAACCGTTGCCCATTTGACGATGATATTAAGTGAATTATGGCAAAATTTTTAATCTGGCGTATGCCAATCATTAATAAAAACAATGCCAAACAGGCTTGCAGTGGTTGTAAAAGTTCATGCCGATGTAACACCATATTAGAACAGTTATTTTTAAAGTGTCCGCGCGAACATTTAGTTGTCACGATATTGTGCAATCTTTTTGTTTATTTATTGGCCTCCAGTTTATTTTAATGTTTACAGAAACTAAACTATTTAAATATTCATTAGAAATGTTAGATTTTAATATATTTTTAATGTATTTCTTAAATGTAAATAATTCAGTTAATGAAAATAAAATTTTTTAATAAATTTTTGTTTGTCCGAACATTTAGTTGTTAGGGCTCGTACATTTACGACGTTTTTTATGTAAAAAAGGCCTCTT